AAGAGAGAGAGAGAGAGAGAGAGAGAGAGAGAGAGAGAGAGAGAGAGAGAGAGAGAGAGAGAGAGAGAGAGAGAGAGACCTGGTATCAAGCGAAACATATTGTCCTCACATAATGTGACATAGTGTGGTTGTCTGTCGTCTGGTACCTTCTGCAACACCACAGCGAACAGAGAGGTGCAACTTAGTTCTCCCTTAAACTCCTCAACATTGGGTGTCTTTTTTTTCCAACACAAGGAGGACACATACTTTATGACACTTTGCAACCTCTCTTCTTCTTCTTCTTCTTCTTCTTCTTCTTCTTTCTTTCTTTCTTTTTTTCTTTTTTTCTTTTTTTTTTCCGACACTCGAGATCACTTGAATGTTCATTTGCAGGTCAGCCAGGATTTTACTCCTCGATTTCGTGTCGTCCACATCAATTCAGTAAATTTTTGCTTCCAAGTAGCTAAGGGTTGTTTCAACTTGGTTCTTATTCAAAAAAAAAAAAAAAAAAAAAAAAAAAAAGAACTCGGTTCTCATTCCTGCAGGCATTGCCTATGTTGAAGTTGTTTCTACTTGCTGCAATGAGAACCAAGTTTTTTTTTTTTTTTTATGCATAATTATTAATTATTAATTATTAATTGCCCATGGAAAGTCATCTGTGGTATGTGACAGGTTTTTCTTTTCCTGTTTTCCGTCTTGTTTTTCTTTTTGGTAAGGGGGTAGGCCCTACCTATATTAATATATACATCATTTTCCGTCAGGATTCGAACTCGTGATGAATTTACAAACAGTTACATGTATGTACTAAGTAGTGCTCCATTCAGCCGTATCTGCCAGATTTACAAACAGGTTTCGTACGTTGCATGGTTATCTGGTCAGATTCATGCAAAAACTGCCAAAAACTGCCAAAAATTGTCAAAAACTATATCCCTCCCAGCCCTCCTCGCCCAACCTCTATCCACCTGTGCCAGCATCATCAAGCTGTCTATTATGTTATGCGCAATGATCCCACGATTCGCACGGCAATGCTTTCATTGCCGCGCCAAAGACGTCCTGAGTCGTCGAGGAGGCAATCGAGGGCCCAAAACTCTTTCTTGGTCGTAAATCTGAACCGTCAAGAAGTAGATCAAGAGCATGGAACACTTTGTTGCAGTTTGCTTTTTTTAGATGCATATGAGGGACCAGGTGCACATTGTTCTTCGATCTGAGCCGTCAATTAGTCGATCAAGGGCCCATAACATGTTGTTCTAAGATGCATATGAGGTCCCAGCTGCAATCGGCCTTGCCTCGTGCCACATTAGCCGGTGTCCGTTTGGGCCGTCGGATACAACACATATCTCATCGATCTATATCATGTGAGTAAGAGGGGGAGGTAGAGATAGGGAATCAAAGTGAAGGCTTACATTTGACAATGAAAGACCTCCATTCTTCAGTTAAAATAAATAAAATTATTTATTAAAATAATTTTAATAAATAAATAAAAATCACTCCAAAGTGTGGCAGTCTATCAAGGAGGCCCTTTTATGGTTCATTTGAGTGAGAGAACTTTAGACATTTTCGACAAGCATAACTTTGTCATGAGTTAAAAAACAAAAGAAACAAACTTGAAAAAAAGAACATAAAGACTCTAGGATCCAACACTAGCTTTCCCTGGGTGCCCGGCCGGGTGCCTTGGGCACCCCGCCCGGGGCACCCCCCCCAAGCACGCAAAAAAAAGCACCGAGTTTTTTTTCTTACGGCCAGTCTCCAACACCATCTTTCTCCGCGCCCCTTCCCCCCCTCCCCCCCTTTCCCCCCGCCCACTCACACACATCTTGATAAGAGACGACTTTCACGCTGCTGGATTGAGAAGCGGTTAACAGAGCTCTGGAATTTCAGTTTTTTTTTTTAAGTTTTAACTCTTTTCATGATCTTTAAAACAAAACTCCCATGCCTTTTTAAACCAAACTTGTCACCAATCCATAGACAGGACAACAAATAAGGTGATGATGCATCATATGGAGAAAATAATAATAATAATAATAATAATAATAATAATAATAATAATAATAATAATAATAATAATAATAATAATAATAATAATAATAATATAACTAGGTGACCCGTTGCGGCTTCGCCCACAAAAACAGAAAAGGAAAAAAAGCACAAAATAAAGAAAAAGCATAAGGAACTCCCCTATCATATGCCGCCGAGCCTTTTTTTCCCTTTATCTTTGAGTGTTTTGTGTGGGGAGCCATTACCTTCGCAGCATCGCTTTTGTTTTGTGATGTGCAAGAACTCTGCACTTTTCTGAGAAAATCCTGTCCATTGTCCCGTTGATGTTTTTGCAGCTAAAGATTCAGATTCAGACTTTGTTTGCTGTGTTCTCTGGATATGTTTGTGATCAACCCATCTTGCATGTATGCATGCCCCGTGCTTACTTGTTGAGTTTTTACGCTATGTGCGCAAGTGCATGCGTGTGTGGGTGAGTCTCACTTTGGTGGGCTCGGATGATGTCATTGACGATTGGCCCGGGGAAGTTGAAGGAAGTCGGCTACAACTATAAGAGTGACACTGATGTTACGCAGGTTTTGCATTGTATGAATGAAACAATCAGCATTCAATCTGCTTGGCAGTTGCTCTTCGGGTGGGGGACTTCTCGGGAGTAGCATTGACATGAGAGCATCTTGGAGCATTTCCGGGAAGGCAAAACGCAAAGAAGAAACGAAGTAGCATGTGTCAGAGTCACATAACGGACAGCTTGGCACAGTCCCCCCCC